GAGGTAGTTCTGGCAGATAACAGTATCTCTTACCCTTCCTCATCTATTTTTGCCATTTCTCCTAAGCCATGCGGTCATCATTCTATGATTCGTTCATTGATGAAGTCATCTTAGCATCTTATTATTTAGAATAAACCGAGTGATGGATGTCGAGACTCTTGCCAACATTCACCAAAGTTAGGAAAGCGATAGCCCCAAGGCACTGAGATTGGAAGCTCAGGAAAGGAAGATGCTGCTGTGACAGGATGGCGGTGTGACATGCGCTTAAGTGTCCAGGGCTTGGGGGCAGAAAGAGTAGGTTCAGACCTTGGCTTTGTCACGTACATGGATCTTAGGTAAGTGGCCTGACCTCCCTGCACCATAGTTTCCTCATCTGTGATGGGAAGGTGCTTTTGTGCTCTATCGGAAGGATCAAATGAGATGCTTAGCTGTGTAGATGAAATGCTTAGCCTGACCATAATTACCAAATCCAGACCCACTGCCATCAAGTTGACTCCGACTCAGAACAACCTTGTGGGACAGAGTTGAACAGCTGCTTAGGGTTTTCACGACTGTGAAGCTCTATGGGAACAGGCAGCCTTCTCTTGTCTGGCATAACAGCTGGTGGGTTTGAACCATAATACATACCCCAGAAATAGAGGCACTTATAATTACGGACTTGGGCTTGTTAAAACTCTTTATTGTGTGGGACTGTGCTCTAAGTGTTTTGTGTCCTAGTAATCTTTGAAGAATTTGTCTTCTCATTCTTGGTCTCAGAAACGCTGAGTACTTTTGATGTATTTTTCCTTTCTGTTGTTTATATTTTTGTAGCAATTGTGGATACATCACTTGACTCTCCTACCTTTCCCTCCTCCTTTGGCTACCTTCTAAACAGTGTCTAAGAGTAAAGCTTATTCTTAGAGCCCTCTCCAAAGGGATAAATGTGTAGCTGGCGAAGGTTACCTCTGCTCAGCTCCCTTAATCCACTCCGATCTTGTAACTATCTTTTTTTCCACCCAAAAGGTGATTTGGTTGTTGTTTTGGGTCGAGATATGTGACTTCTGAGTTTTCCATCTCATTCAACATTTTGCAGAGATAATGATATTTTGAAATTCTTGGGAGTTCATGGATAACATCATCTTTCTTTCTTATTTATTTTCTCAACATAATCCTTCTTTGAGGCACATTTGCATCCATCTAATTCTTCTGTGACCTGGTTCCCCCGCCCTCTAAAAGCCCTTGGACCTTTGCTACAAGCACAACACTGACAGTGCACTTGGGGTGTAAAAGGCACAGTAAGCCAAATGATACTCGGAAAAAACAAACAAACAAAAAACCGCTTGAAATGACAAATGTTTTGCTCTATGTATTTTACTAGATTTTTCTTTTGGGGGCATGTAGCTTAACAAGTGTGTTACAGAGAAGACGAGTCTTTGTTCCCCTTCCTGCGAATGCTGGCAGCCGTAGCCCGGGAGTGTTCTTGACCTCAGCGGGCCACGGTCATAGTCTACTCCTTTATCCCGGCACAAAGCCTCCTTTCAGTAGCAGATGTGCAAGTGTCTTTAGATCAAGTCCATGTTTTTGAAATGGGATAATTTACAGCTAAGGAGGATTTTTTAAAATCTAACCAGCTGTGTGTCCTAGAACTATAACCTTGTGCTCATGCGGGATGATGTTTTTCTTCTTCTCCTTTTGTTGTTACCGAAAGACCTTTAAGATAAGCCCTGCTGCATAGCCCAGGCGGGCAGGGAGGTGCATGGACTTTCTTCCGTATCAGATGCTGCACACAGGAAGGCAAGATGGTTTTTTTTGGCTCTTTTCAGTTTATTGCTTGAAGGACTTACACTAGTCCAAGTTAAACGTGGACCCCAAATGGTTCCATCATACAAGCTGCGAGGTTTTAAACTTGTAGCAAAGGACAGAAGGACTTTTTTGCTCATTGCAAGGAAATCCTCACTTAAGCGTCCATGAGCCACAAGCACTTCAAACCCAGGAACCTTCAGCTGGCCATCCTTAGCCAGGCCATTCTCTACAAGGACTGTCAGAAGTTCCTATGCTGGACGCCCTGAATCACTGCACCGTATTCTGGGTGCTCAGTCACAGTCCCATTGCAGGCAAATTTCTTCTTAAACGCCTTCACGAGTTTCTTTGTGTCGTCATCATCCGAGAGTCCTTAAACCAGCGGTTCTCAACCTGTGGGTCGCAACCCCTTTGGGGATCCAACGACCCTTTCACAGGGGTCACCTAAGAATATCGGAAGACACATATTTCCATGGTCTTGGGACCGAGATACCGCTCCTCTATCGTCTCCAGGCAGGTCCGCCCACATGCAGATACGCCCACCTACAAGTACCCAGTGTGAAGACTGACCCAGGCCACACCATGCTTCAAGACAAAATTTCATTTATTTGTCTTTAGAAATAAACATTTCCTTTTTTTATAAATAAACATTTCACAATACATAATTACATATTGTTTTTGTGATTCATCACTGTGCTTTCATGAGGTTCAATTTGTAACGATGAAAATACATCCTGCATACCAGATATTGACATGACGAGTCATAACAGTCGCAAAATGACAGTGATTAAGTAGCAGCGAAAATGTTATGGTGGGGGGTCACCATCACATGAGGAACTGTATGAAAGGGTCGCGGCATGAGGAAGGTTGAGAACCACTGCCTTAAACAGTGGTAAGCGCTCTGCCAGTGGGCTTGAATTCTTATATGGATAAAATCCTCTGTCCCTGCAGGCAGCAGGTCATCACCCTGACTTGCATCAGCAAAGTGGTGGAAAGAGGGGAGGTTCTGGAGAGCGGCCATGCGATGCAATTCCTTTTCCTCTGTGCAAATGGCCTGCAGAAGCGGGCAGGGGGGACAGAGGAGACAGAGGGGAAGCGAGGGGGCTCGAGGGGGAGGCTGCTGCAGCCTGGGCGGCGGCGGCGCAGGGACTGAAGCAAGGTGCTGCTTTTGACGGAGGGTTGACCCGATGAAGACAGCTTTTGAGAACTCTCCTTCTTCTTCTTTCAACCCTAACAGCAAAGATGGATCTTGCTATTCAGTGCGTTTTCCGGTGGTCGTCCTTATTCATTGTTCATGCCTATGTGGCCACTGACAATAGGATGGCTTGAGTCAGGCATACCATTGCCCTGCCCTCCAAGTGGCCTCTCTTCACTCTTTAAAGTGTTCCCCTTCTTCGATAGGAGTAGATTTGCCCCGGGCAGTAGGTCTGGATGCTGCGTTTGTGGCCCTCGGTTGTGAAGCTGATGACAAAGGATCTCGTGACACCCCCAGGCTTCCTCTGTTCGTGCGGTGTAGTTTCTGATTCCACTGTGTGGACGTGTCATCCGGATGGTCATCTCCAGTCTTCACTTTGGGCAAGAAAGGCCATGCCAGGACTGTGCCTGCGTTTCCTTCAGTCCTGAAGCCTCCTCCTCCTCCTTCTTCTTCTTCATATAGTCCGGCTTCTCAGATCATGCTCGCCGCCCCCTCCATGTTTATTGAGAACTAGAGTGATGCATTCTTCATAGACTCACAGAACATCAGTACTGGATGGGACCACTCATCCAGATGCCCCATTTTTATTTTTCTAAGCCTTTCGATCTTTTAGGACTGAAAGCGTGCACTTGGGAGGGGTGTTGCTACCGCCGTCTCCTATTGGTAGGTAGGAAGAGTACTGAGAAGAAGAATGTGAACACTCCGCCTGGGTACTAGACAAGGAGGGACTACATCTTCCTACCAGGCCTTTCAATGCACTAACCCTATTGCCATCAAGTTGATTCTAAATCATACCGACCCTATAGGCCAGTATGGAATTGCTTCATAGGGTCTCCAAGGCTGTACTCTTTAGAGACGTGCGAACCACCATCTCGCACCCACTTGCAGAGCTGCTGGGAAGATCACAGGCCGCCGGGTGGAAAGTCCTGTGGATCCAGTGGCAGTGGACACTTCCCCGGGGCTCTGGCTGCCATCAGCGTAGCTCCATGTGGCTTATCAACAGGAATGTGAAGCAAAGAGAGTGTCCCGCCTCCAGGGAGGAAGAGAGGAAGTCCCGGAATCCTCATGAGAAGGCCACCCCCAGAAGGAGGGATCACTAGGCTGTGACTTGATTGACAGGCTAGCCCCACCCTTTCATCCTATTTATCAAGTTGACGTGAAGTTGTATAACTGCCACACACTCCTCTATCTGCAGTGGCCAACAATAGAGTGCAATTTTATGCTGAAAGAATCCATTGCCACTGTTTAACTTGTTCATGCTTTTGATTTCCTGCTGTTTCTTTGGATTTGGTATTGATATTGGCATAGTGTCGGGGTGTTGATGTAGGGGTGGAAGGAAGAGAAATAGTCTTTGCTATTTTGTTTTTGGAAAAATATCCTTACTCTGTCCTGAGGTCTGGCTCCCCTTGATTAGCAGCCATCTCAACATGTGCATATCAGCAATGGTCAGTGTTGGCTTTTGGTACCTAGGACTTCTTGTCCTATGCACATATGTGGGGGATTAGCATGGGAGAAGAGAAGGGTCGGCATTTTAGTATGCATTTCCAGAGAGCTAAATGACACATTCATACAAATGAGAATCTCATAGGAGAGATGAGCAAAATTCATTCTTCTGGCCAGCTAGGGACTACCTCGATGAAGCTGTGAACGAACTTTGCTTTGAAAGGAGTCATAATTTGATCAGAAGCTTCAGGAAGAGAGGGCCGGCGTTAGTGAAGACCGGTTGATGTTTGCCCCAGGACTCCATGGAATGGTGTGATATTCTTGTCCTCCAAAGTGAAGCCATCAAGATCAAATAAAACTATGGACAGCCTTGGTGGTGCCGTGGTTATTCTCTGGGCTGCTCACCTCAAAGCCTGAAGTAGGAAGCCACCAGCCGCTCCTCAGGGGAAAGACAGAGCTGTCTACTCCTGTTCAGAGTTACAGAGCTGCAGTCTCAGAAACTCAACAGGGGCAATTCTACCCTGTCCTGTAGGGGGCCTCTGAGCCAGCATGGCCTGGATGGCAGGGTTGGTTTTGTTGTTTTTGAGCATGGTTTGGATATACCACACACCTTTAATTTCTCACCGGGTTTGCTTCTTGACAGGCCGTCATCACAGATCCATTCAAGCTTGCTGAAGAGTCCTACACTACCAAGTCCCCATGTGCCCCTGGTGATGCTGGAAGCTGCTGTGGCACTAGAGGCTGCTAAGTCTACAACTGCCTGGATAACAAAACGAGCAGTGTGGCTGGAGGCTGGAGAATGAGTTGCATATGCTCTTTAAAAAAAATCATTTTATTGGGGCTTCTTATAGCTCTTATAACAATCCACACATCAATTGTATCAAGCATATTTGTACATATGTTGCCATCATCATTTCCGAAACATTTTCTACTTGAGCCCTTGGTATCAGCTCCTCTTTTTTTCCCCCTCCTCCTCTACCCTTCCACCCTCGTGAATCCTTGATCAATTATCTTTTGTTATTATTATTTCGTATCTTACACTGTCTGTCTCCTTTCACCCACATTTCTGTTATTCTTCCCCTTCGGGGGGGTGCTATATATCCAGCCTTGTGCGGGGTTCCCACTTTCTCCCCCTTCCTCTTCTCCCTCTGCAACAATCCCCCTCCCCTCAGGATATCACTACTCCCACTACTGTGCCTGAGGAGTTTTTCTGTCCCGAATTCCATGTGTCCAGAGCTCTTGTCTGTACCGGTCTAGCAGCATTTGTAAGGTAGAACTGGGTCATGCTAGTGCAAGGGAGGAAGTATTCAGGAACTAGAGGAATGATGTGTGATCCATCGATGCTATACTTCACCTTGGTTGAATCATCCCTTCCTTATAACCTTTCTTTGGGGGGATAGCCAATTGTCTACAGATGGGCTTTGGTTCTCCATTCCAACCCGCCCCTCCCCCATTCACATCGATATAGTTATTTGTTTTGGATCTTTTGATACCTGATACCTGATCCTGTTGACACCTCATGATCTCACAGGCTGGTGTTCTTCTTCCACGTGGGCTTCTTTGCTTCCCTGCTAGATGGCTGCTTGATTAAATTCAAGCCTTTAAGACCCCAGATGCTGTATCTTTTGATAGCTGGGCACTATTTGCTCTCGTCACCAAATTTGCTTAGGCACCCACTTTGTCTTCAGCCATCATGTCAGAAAGGTGAGTATCAAAGAGAGCTGGGTTATTAGAACAAAGTGTTCTTGTGCTAAGGGAGGCCTTGAGTAGAGTCCCAAAGTCTGTCTGCTATCTTAATACTTAACATTTAAATATATGTACATTGGCCTCTGTCCCTTGAATTATAAATTAATATATTTACATATATACATGCCTATAGCTATATCTCTATAAATAGCTTTTGCCTCCTGTTTCTTTCCTCTATTTCAGCAGTTCTCAACCTGTGGGTCAAGACCCCTTTGGGGTTGAATGACCCTTTCACAGGGGTCGTCTAAGACCATCAGAAAACACATATTTCCGATGGTCTCAGGAACCGAGACACCACTCCTCTATCCATCTCGAGGCGGGACCACCCACATGCAGATACGCCCACATATGAGTACCCAGGGTGAAGATTGTGACCCAGGCTACACCATGCTCTAAGACAAAATGTATTGGTCATTAGAAATAAATACTTCACAGTATAGAATTACATATTGTTTTTGTGATTCACCACTATGCTT